GCGGGCACTGGGGGAGGGGACTGTTGTTGCTGCCGCCACCGTGTGTGGGAGCATGCATCTCAAGGACCTGAGCCGGGAGACATGGGAACTGCAAGTGGGAGCATTTGATGATTTCAAAAAACTTCTGGAACACGGTTGATTGGCATTTTGTAGGTCTCAGTGAAAGAGCGAGCTTTGTTTCGTCTCCTTTCCTCCCCTGGTAATGCGAGAGATCCTTTCTCTCTCCCCTCCACCCCCAAATAATAACTGGCTGTGGCTGGGTTTGGCAGCAAAGTGCCAAAGCGAGCGAAGTCCCCCCAAAGACACCTTTCCTTGCCTGTCTCCAGGTGACACTGGAAGAGCCCCCCCCCCCAGCTTTTCCTCAGCTGCAGATCTGAGCCTCTCAATTCTCCACCCTGAAAGGAGAATCTGAAAGGAGCTCCCACTTTCTCCCACTCCCCTCCCCCAATTAATCACCAAGAGCCGCAGTCCTTCTGCAGGTAGATGCCTGCTGAGAAGCCCCTGGAGTGGCAGCCAAGGGGCACTGCCCCCCAAGGAGAGCAAAGCCCCCTTTCTGCCTCTGCTTCTCCCAGCGGCAGTTGCCCCAAGGCCCCTCAGTTCAGACACACACACACACACACACACACACACACACCGCCTGCTCTTCTGTCTCTTTGGAAGGTGCCAGGTGGGGGGAAGCTTCCAGCCCAGAATGTTTTATTTTGTTATCATTAAGCATTTACATTTTTGTTATAATTAAATAAGTGTGTGTGTGTGTGTGTGTGTATAATATTTAACATAAAAATTATATTAAATATATTAGCTTTTTTAAAAAAAAATGTATTTGTGGTCCTCGGGTTTTAAAAGTATGAGTTTGGTGGTCCCTGGGATCCAAAAGTTTGGCGACCCCTGATATATATCACTCTGTCAATGTCCAGAGTTGCTTTGTGAGTGAAATGGGCCTTCTATAAATTTGATATATAAATAAAATAAAATAATAAATGTGTTGATGAATATAATTGTAAGTGTATATATACAATGTGTGTGTGTGTGTGTGTGTATGTGAGGGAGAGCAAATATGTATCTGTTTAGGTAAATATGAATGTTCTGAAGACCATTTGGAAGCATACTAAAGGAAGAACTTAGTTTCTCAAAATTATTTACATTTGGTTTACTAACTATGTACAGGCATAATTGAAGACATGCATATAGAAATTCCTTATGTAGAATTCAGATGTTTTTCGTTTTGTCGTCATAACAGTCAAGATAGATGAGTTAAGTTATGAGAAAGTAGCGATTCAACGACAATAACCTTCTCTCAAGAGATTTCCTCCTGCAAAACTATAGGTAGCTGTTTATATATTAGAGTTAACCACAAGATCACATGCTTGATGGCATTGGTAATACTGTATTTGAATTCATGCCCTGTTTACAAAATTGTATGAAAGATATATTTATTTATTTTTCCCAAGAAAAACATGTTTGAGCAGAAGATGAAAAGAGCTTCTTCTGGTATGAATCCCCCTCAAAATTAAAGTCCCGCTATTACAATCAGGGCGTTTAGATTTGTTGGCCTGCTTGTTTAATAATGGACTGTGCAGGACATTGAACGCAAATATCTCCATCACTGTTTCACTAAATTACAGGATAGTGAAATGTGGTTGAAGGTTGCTTTTTCCATTATTAGTCCTCCTTTGACACAACCCTTGCTACTAAATACTGGTGGTGTTATTAGTTTTCATTGCCATCCATTAATGGAAGAGAGCTTACTGTAGGTAACAGAAGCTGTGCTCTGTCCTCATCCCTGAACTGCATTTACCACAAGGGAATGTTTACTGGCCACAGATTGTGAACAATGCCTCCCATTCCTTCGCCATTTGGTATTGTTTCTTCCAGTCCTGATGGCATCATTGTGCAGAGCTAACTACATTGGAACTCTGCCATATTGGAGGAATTCACAGCTGGCAAGAGCTGGCTGCCATCCAGGCAGTGGCACGTAGGGGTCGAAATGCGAGAGCATCTGGCTGTTATGCTCCATCTGTAAACCTGTGACTAATCTTTCCATGTAAACAAAGACATGTTCCAAATAGTGCGCACAATTTGCCCAATCCCATTAGTTATATCGAATATCAGAGGTATTCCTCTCGAAAACATAAGAATATAAGGAATGTACATTTTTCTAAACCTGCTTTCTGCCATGATCTTTATTCGTATGTAAATAATATTTTATAAGCAAGTGGCAAACTAGATGAAAAAAAGCATCTGCCATAGGATGATGATGGACACGTAGAGAGAAGTGTGGTTTATCTATGACATTTGCTTCCCACCCTTCAAATTTCATGAGTACCGTTTACTGATTTCAATTGATTAAATTGGATGGTCAGAACTCTTAACAATTCCATGTGAAAAAATAATTCTTGATAATTATTATTCCCAAAGTTCTCTGTGTTGAAGTATGAATCTAGATCAATGAACTTTCACCTACTACAATTATGCAGATATTAGGTCCACAGCTATGCACTGAAACAGGTGTGTACTTTTGTGGCAGGCGTATCCATTTCATTGATTGGTCTAACTATGCCTGTATGCTTGCTTGTCTTTTCCAAATTACAGCATTTTCTTATCACTCAATTGGCTTTAATCTACCAATTCAAAGCAAATTTTCAAAAGTAACAGAGGATTTGTGTGTGTACCAAATACATACAAGCTTGCCTTGCCACGTAATATCTCTATCCCCAAAATAAATATTGAAGATTTTTAAAAACCATGATCTTAGGCAAATCATCTAAAAATTAAAAACTCAATCCACCCAACATGACTCAAACTAAGAGCAACTTTCCTCCTTTGATCATAATATTTCTATCCTACATATACTCGTTACTAATCTCAGAATCAAATCTATGTGGTATAAATGGTATAAATAAGCAGAAACCTACTAGCTGCTTATGTGTTTCCATAAATTGACAGCCAATCAAATTTATATTGCATGTTGGTGGACTTGAAACTACTGTTGTTCTCCTTCCTCTACACCCAACATGTAGAGTGATACACTTGACCATCCCTTGTCCTTTCATCTTTGATACACCTTATAAAAGACCACCATACCTTCCAGCAAAACCTAGCATGAAAATTGCCTGCAAGAGGAGAGGAGAGAAGTGGGAATGGGAAGGAAGGGAAGGAAAGGAAATCCACAGAGGGAAAAATAATGCATTTTTGGCAGCTTCAGAAATATCAAATTTAATGGTAGAGCTGCTGTGAAATTACATTGAACAACACTTTTTACAGCTCAGATTCCTTATGCTGCTTATTTAAGTACATGGATAGTCATGCAAAGAGATTGTATTACATAAGGAATGTGTACATACAACAAGCTTTCGTGAAAAAAAATGCAGCAGCAAAACTGAGATAAATTGATATTTTTTGAAATTAATGAACCAGGAAATTGGAGTTCACATGACTACATAAAAATGTATTAATATTTCTTGTACAAAAATTAATGAGAAATGGTGTCAAGATAACATATAAGTACTATTAGGTTAAAAACATCCAAATTATGACACTACAAGGAAGTTAACTAGAGTACAATGACAAATTTTAAAATCTTTTTGCTTAACAAGCCTTTTCTTTGCATCTAATATATAATTATATAAATATCCTTAATAAGGGAGGATTTGCATCCTGATTGCATTTAAAATTTAGAGACATTCACTACAGACACTACAAATCCTTGCTTTGTTGGTATTTAAACCTGCAATCCCATTCTTAGGATAAGACACAAGAGACTATCTACAAACTTGTCTGCCTTATTAAGTGCTTCAGTGTATTGCTACAGTGCTTCAGTAATTGCATTAATGGCTACTATTTCTTAAAGTAGGTAGTATCGGTTCCTGGGGCCAGAGATCATGCAATGCTGTGGGTATTTTGACCCTGAGTTTTCTGTGTGCGAGAGAGAGGAACACTGGGACTTCCTTCTACACATTTCAAAAATTAACATGAGCGAAGAAATAGGAGATTTCACCTTATGTCTTGTTATAGTCCTTTGATGGATTCCAAAGCAGATTGTAAGATAGTAGACTTTGATCTCAGAATGTTACTGACTTATTAAAGTCAGCATACAATTAGAAGAAAGTGCTAATTAACAGAATGTCAAAATGAAGCTGTCCATTTAAATCTGAATGCTTGAAAAGAATATACATACATACATACACAGACACACACACGTGTATATGTATATACATATATACTGTATTTTCAGTTTTTCATTTATGGAACTTGAGAAGTGTGTGGTTCTTGATTGGTGACTGAGCTGGCCTTGTCTGACATTACCAAAAATGACACTAAGAGAAATATCATATATGTGGGAGATAGGATGCTTTGTGCGTGCGTCCCCCCCACCCTCCCCAATTTCACACAGGTCAGAGTTCTTTTCATGTCAAAGCCAAATCTTTACAAAAGAACTCTGTTAATGAAATACAATTTTAAAAATAAAATGTAGAAGTGGATAAAGGAAAGGATTCTCTTGTTGGATAGCTTTTTATACCAAAAACAGATGCCTCACTCCCACCCCCAAACTGTTTGATAGCTACTGTCTTGCCAGATAAAAGAATCTATCAATTGTTTATCCAGATCACTTTTTCATGGGTCACAAAGACCTACACACTACTATTTCTGCATATATCACTACTGTTAATTCCAAATGCATTTCTGTTATATATTCTATTTATGGAATTCTTCGATACCTGATTGGGCACAACCTTTTTTTTTCATAAACTTTAATTTGCCTACAAAAGCTGCATGAACAGTATGTTTTTTTAGCTCTAGTCAAAGGCATTTGGTTCCTAATCCAGGTGTTTTAGGAAATGGATTTGGTGAATGCTTCCTAATGATTTTCAGATTTTGGTGCTATGAAGAATTAGGTGTGGTCAGCATTAGTTGTTTTGCTTGCTTGTTTATTCTTTCTTTGCAAGTTCCAATACATAATGCAAGTAAATTAATAGTACTTTCTCTCTCTTTTTTTTCAGCTATGTCTGGGCTTGTAGTTCCGCCAATGTAAATTCATTTTTTTTGTTTAGCTACTGTAGCACCAAGTTCAGAAGATGAGCTTTCTAGGGGACAAGTTTAGTATATAAGATATGCTGATGGAACCAGTATCTTCAAAATACAATCAGCAAAACATTGAAATGCTACAAAAAAAAAAACTTTGTTTAAAAAAGTTTATTTAAAGTACTAAGAATCAACATGCAAACAATCAACTTCTTCATGAACAATTCCATTTTATTGACTGAACTTCTCTCATATTTTCACATTTCTTGGTCCTGAAGAAAAAGGAAAAAGCGACACCTATTTTGTATAAAGTTTCTGATTACGTCTTGGCTATGTCTAGTACTTGCTATGTGTCGGGAAAAACTTTGTGGATGCACCATTTTGATTATCATGAAACACTGATGAAAAATGCCTCCAAAACATTTTTCTGTACTCATAACTAGATTCACAATGGTTGTGTATCTCTATAATGTGAATTATTTTTTGTGGTGAAAAAAGGGGGCCAAGGAGGAGGTATGAGCCATCAAAACCGGGGTTGGGGGGAGAAAGGATGAATATATGATTTCAGATAATTTTGGGAGACGGGAGGATGGGAGGGTGGATCATTGCTTAACTTCATCTTAATGAAATGGAACTTTGTAACTTATTGTAGTTAGAAATTGTAACTTTGATATTGAATTCTCTTGCCTTCAACAAGCACACTGACAGAGGAAAATGCTACTGTCTGTTGGTTTAAAAAAATATACTTCCACTGCTAGAGCTTCCTGTTAAGCAAGTGTGATCTGCAACATTTTTTCAACTTTTGCTAGCACTGTATACTATTGCATTCTTAGGCTACTGTGAAGTCTATGTTTCTTGTACCAGAAAATTGTCCTTTTGACTTCTAGATCCTACTTCCCTAATGTGTTTTGTATGTGGTTATAAAATTGTAGACTTTTGTGATTTTGCCAAAGTTGTAGCTAAATATTTATACACTTGTCTTGAATTTTTTTCAGATCCACTTAAATATTTAGAAGATCAAATTTTATTCCTTTTAAAGATAAGGAATAAAATAGCCCTACATTACAACTTCCTTTCACATGAACACTTGCAATCACCAAGGGAATTTATTTTGTAACATATTGATTATAAATATTGTATTTATCTTTGAAATTTTGTATATTTTCACCATTTTTCCTGTATGTATGTTTTTTGTCATTTGACTGGTATTGTGATGCTGTGAAAAGCATTAAGCCAAGAATCGCTGCCTTCATGTTTTCGTTTTTTTAAAAAAATGTGTTCATTCATTTCATTTTGTATTTCACAAAGTTGTTATTTTTTTCGACTTTCCATCCTTCTGTTATTTTGAGGAAAAACATTGTTTATTTTTATATTATTTTTAAGTTATCTGAACAAATAATTTTGAAATAAAGTTGTTTGTTGTATAGTTAAAACAAAATTGTGCCACATGGCTGTAATGAATACTAGTAGAAAATGTGCATGTAATGCGGCCACAAGAAACAGAAGGTTCTCTTATGTTGTGTTTGGATTTTCGTTTTTTCCTTTCTCCATTTTTTCCGATTTCTGATTTTTTTTTTAAAAAAAAGTTGCCCCCCATGACTCTGCCACATATCTGAACTGTGTTTACTGGGGGGGGGAGGGGGCGCTAAACCAGAAGCCTAAATTAAAAATAATAATAAATAAATAAAATCCACTTCTGATGTTTTAATTATAGTGTTGGCCACATGAACTTCCTTGGATGCCTTAAAATTAGATGTCTTTGAACAACTTTTGTGCTGTTAACTGTGGGCTTAGAACAAGTGTATCGCTGCTTCATTTGGATGATTTATGGTCTATAAAAGCACAAATGAGGGGTGCAGTTTCTTCCTGTGATTATAGTTACCTGCCCACTCTTCACTTTGATGAGGCTTGCCCCAACCCCCTAAAATGACTAATTGTAATATCATAGCTAACCTTGGTAAACTCTACTCCTGGTCAACAGGTTTGTGACCTCTTTTTGTATCTGTTTTCTGCTGCACTCTGCATAATCTGTAACTTAGCACTGTTTAACAAAGAAAAAGACTTTTTAGGCATTTGGGATCACACCTGATTTTATAACCTTTTTTATTTTCAGATTTTTGTTTTGTAGAGATACTTACAGTAAGGACTGTAATTTATAAACTGGAACGATTTCTTTAATATATTGTGCCTGTTAGTGCCAATACTGACATAATTGTTTCCTTCCCCACCCTACCCCATTCTTTCTTGCACTAAACGCTTTCAAACGCAGCACTGCAAAATCACTTTTGCACTCTGCAGCAGAAGTAAATTTCTCAGCAGAAAAGGAGGGACCATTTTTAATACAAAAGTGCACATTTTCAGGAAATGTTTATAAGAGGTTTTAAAACTGATACAAATATATTACAAATTACAAAACATGCCAGACATTTTTCCTGTGAGAGTCGATAAGGCTAAGCTAAGTGGAAAAGCCGAAAAGTCATACCGAAAGTGAATTCCCTCAGTTTAACTTTATATAAGTATGATTTTGATCTTAAGAAAGAAAGGTCAGGCATACATGATCAGAACGTTTCTTCATAAATACAATCTGTTTTGTGTTTTAGATTAATTAGTCAATTCACTCATATTTCCTCATCTTCAAATGGGAAACTTCACTAAATGATAGATTTTACTGTTAAAGACCCTACAATAAGATTGTTTTATCTGTACATTTTTCAGATATTTAACTGTATAAAAATGTTCATTTTACACAATATTTAATTAAAGTATTTCTTGTCTGTGAATTTCATTTCTGCTAATTTTTCAGGTTTAATTATTAAAATGTAAGAACATAGAAGCGAGCAACAGTTGGAATTGTTGAAATCATTTTCGTGTTTTAAAGAAGATACTCCCAGGGTGTAACTAAGGACTTGCTTACTCATTGATTTGAATCACTAAATGTATTACTGTGTGCTTTCTCTGAATCCTTCCACTTAAAATTGTTTTGATTCATCTGATATCAGATGACATGGAAGCTGCTATATTCTCCTTGTGATAACTAGTTTGCACAATGATGATTTGTATGGCTTAATGTTGCTTTCATTCATTAGCAAATATGAATGTGTCCATCACTTGCCCTATGAAAAAGGAAGGTCAAATAAATATGATTGATAATCTTGATAGAACAACTTATGCAGAGGCACCCGATATTCTGATGATGCAGTTGGTTGCTTCTAATCTCAACATAAAGGCAAGCATATGCTGGAAGAAGAAATATATCAAATAGCTCTTGATAAAACACTAAGTTGCTTCCAGTTATGTCAACACTATCCTGAACAAAAAAAAATCTTACAATTTTTAGAACTAATTCATAGGAAGCCATAAAAGGCAAAATATTTTTTTCTTTTTGGGCAGTATAGATTACAGTTTACAAAAATAGACCATCCCTACACAGATGTTAATGAAATTATGTTCCCCTTTTCATTGTTTTTACAATCTTTTTTTAAAAATTAGGATTTATGCTAATATAAACAAAGAATATGGTCTGATGGCATAGAGGTGAAAATGCTTGCCTCCCACATGGGAGGTTGAGAGTTCAATCCTAGGCAGCTGCAGATGTTTCTCTATTGGGGCACAAGGAGAAAATACCTGCTGTGAACTTGACATAGGCATCAGGAAGGGCATCCAGCCAGTAAATGCTCAGCTCCACTCAGTTTCCCTGACTCCAACCAGAAACAAAGGGATTAAAGAGTCATAAAAAGAATCCCTGCCTCCTTCCTCATAACAAAATGATTTCTCTTTTTGGACATTCCATCAGGTTCTGTAAAATTCACAAGGGTGAATTTGAAATAAAGACTAAAATTCTGCTATTAAAATAAATGGGATAAGGATATTCACTAATATAGTGCCTATGTTGTAAATAAATCCATTTACAATAAGATCTGCAATATCTTGGCAATAATTATAATATTTATGACTACATTCTGAGAGCAATAAATTGAATTAAAATAGCAACTAATATTAAAACAACTTCAAAAATGTTTTAAAACACACACAGGCTTGTGCATATATACATCGAAGAAAAAAAAGGAAAAAAAATGTCCAAGTCATGGATGCTCAGCAGAAGTCATTAGGAGAAGGGGCAGGAAGACATTTTGCAAACGCAAATTTGGGAAATCCTACTTGAAGGCATAAAGAGGCTACTTCTTTAGAATTTGGGTAGCATTGATAGTTCAGTAGCTTCTCTAGTTGAATCGCCAGTAACTTCTATGAAAGAACATTAGGTAAAAGATGATGGGGAAAGATACCTGGCTGAGACCCTTGAAAGCAACTGTTAATTCAGACTAGAGGAATGGTTCAAACCTTCTGAATAAACTGCGGTTTGCTTAAGCCAGGGGTGTCAAAATCAATTTCATTGAGAGCTGTATCAGGGCTCTTGGGGAGCTGGGATGGGCATGGACAGCACCACGTCACTTGTGTTGGGGGTGCCTGTGGTGGCCCAAGTGCTCTGCAAGCAAAAACAGGATCCCAAGCTCCATTTTTGGCTGCAACAGTCTCCTGAAACTTGTCAATGAAAACAGAGTTTGGGAGGGCTCCCCCTGAGCTCTGTTGTCACTGGCAGAGGGTTGCAGGAGGCCATCACGCTAAAAACGGAGCTCAGGAGCCTCTTTTTGCTGGAAGAGGCATCTTGGGTTGGTCCTTCGCTGTTTCCAGGGCAGCCCTGTGGGCCAGATCTAAACACCCCTGGGCCTTGAGTTTGACACCCCTGGCTTAAGCACTTACAGTATACTACTCAGGATCTGGTAGAATTCTCTTGAACAAGTAAAATGTTGTAGGATAAAGCTATCAATGCTTCTACTCACAATGGCTGTTCTCCAAAATAAGAGATAGGATCCCTCTGAATTTCACTTTCCATAGAAACAGGGAGGTTTCTGCCTTATAGGAACTATAATGCTGGACTAAGTGCATCTCTTCTGACCCAGCAAATGCTCTTAATATATCTCTGAATTTCCCATGTTGTTGCAACCAATAGGCCAGAGACTGCAATTTTCAGCTGTTGACAGATAACTTAAAAAAAGAAAAAGAAAAAAAGGACACGAACTGATTGGTGTGAATGCAAAGCCCTGAAAGGATTGGAGGTAATCTGATGGAAAAGATAGCTTAAATTTCTTTTGTTCTCAAATTAAATTTATTCCCAAAGAGCCACATTTTCTCTCTCTCTTGTTCCTATAAAATGGCTTGGTGGAAAGAAAGAGAGTAGGAAATGAAACGACTGGCAGATATGTTCTCAAATCAGATTAATCCATGCAGTCATTGAACTATCTATTGTCCAATCACAATGTCATGGGGGAGTGGATGGAGAGAACATCAGAGAGAATCCACTTAAGGTCTTGTACCCTTATTATTACTATTTCCTATTCGCAGAAGTCCTATCTGTAATTGGTTGGCATAATGGTTTTTCTTCTTTTAAGAAAACCATTAAAGTAGTACCTCTGTACTTATCATTAATTGGTTCTGGAAGGTGCAATGAGTACCAAAATTGATGAGTACCAATTTTTCCCCATAAGGAATAAGACACAAGACAGCCGATTCCAAAAGGTTCTAGCTTTTGCACTGAGTACCAAACAAATGATGAGTAGCAGGACAAATTTTTCACATCAAAATGCGTTAAGTACCAAATTTGATGAGTTTCATAGCAATTGAGGACCAATGTAGCATTGAATTGCCTCTCATTCTTTGCTCTGTCCTCAACTCTCAACAGACATCTGTATTACATTTGTTTCCTTATTCTCCCTTTTTTCAAGCCCCACTCAGCTTCACGTTTGCCATACTCTCTCTCACAATAGGATTAATTTTTGCTGCACCTTTAATTATTTTATTTCCCCAAATAAACTAGTAGTAAGTAGTGCTCTTTTACAAACACTTCAAGGGAAAATCATTTGAAAAATCCTTCAGTAATTTCAATGAAATTTGGCGTGCCTTTAGTTTTAAACACCCATCTTTTCAATAAAATTTGGTTTGTTTAGAGGAAAAGCAAAATGATTTCCTTACTTTAAAAATCAGATTTTAAAAACCTTTCATACACAAATTATTGCATTGATTTGTATATTTTGCTTACCATATTTCACATTTAATATTTTAGCTTTCCTGCAGAGATCAACCCATTTTGATCAACCCATTTTCTTTTAACAAAGAAAAATATATAACTATTGATATTTTTTCTATATTCAATAATGAGAGAGTATGGCTCCATTTTGGGTGTATGTGCTCCAAAATTTGGAGAAATTTTAACTTGGTGGGCTGACGTACTTTCAGAGTAAGGAATTGGCTATAGAGCAGGTATGTTGGCTCTTGTACTTTCTTATATTTTGTTCTCCCTGTTTCTCGTACTATTTTGGAAAGTACCCATCACAGAGTTTGTTTGTTTTTAATAGCATCATGATATATTTGAGCATAAGCGCAAGAAGAGAAAATATGTTTATTAAATGAGCATTTTTTGAAGGTGGATGGTGGGAGATGTCATACATGTCATGATATTACTGCTGAAACAACTTAATAAAATACAAGTCATTTGCACAATATCTTTATAACACAGATG